CGCAGGGTTCCATCCCAGGAGCCTGAGAGGGCAAACTGGCCATCTGAGGAGATAACCACATCACTAACAAAGTGGGAGTGACCTCGAAGAGCACGTTGTGGAATTCCATAGTTGGTTTCATCCCTGGTCAGTTTCCACATGATGATGGTCTTGTCTAAAGGAGGTAAAACAGAAAAACCAGTGAGGAACCTGCAGCCCGTTTCTTAACACACTGGATAATTCACTAAGTGTCACGGTCATCAGTGGGTTAACAACAACTAAGGACACTTAGGGAGGGATGGGAACAGTAGGCTACAAGACCAGTTACTAGGCCAGGATTGAGTGGCTCTATTCCACACTAAAAACGCAAGTAGAGCTAAACTGTACCTAATAACTTTTTTTTTTTGGATAAAGTTTCACTGTTGTTGCCCAGGCTGGAGTGCAATGGCATGATTCAGGATCCCGGCTTACTGCAACCTCTGCCTCCCAGGTTGAAGCAATTCTCCTGCCTCAGCTTCCCTAGCAGCTGGGATTACAGGCACCCGCCACCACACCCCACTAACTTCGGGCAATCCATCCACCTCAGCCTCCCAAAGTGCTGGGATTACAGGTGTGAGCCACCTCACCCGGCTTTTTTTCTGTGCCCAGGTTAGAGTGCAGTGATCTCGGCTCACAACCTCCACCTCCTGGGTTCAAGCGATTCTCCTGCCTCAGCCTCCGTAGCTGGGATCACACAGGTGCCCACCAGCATGCCCCGCTATTTTTTTCTTAAAAACTACAGACGGGGTTGGCCAGGCTGGTCTCGAACTCCTGACTTCAAGTGATCCACCCGCCTCGGCCTGTATCCTGAGAACTTAATCCAGGTGCCAGAAATTGTAGACACCCTTTCCTGAGAAGGATCTTTTCTGCAACCGAATGCACAGCAGTCTGTGGCTATTGAGTAGCTGAGGGCCTCCTATGCCTACCTCTGAGAGACGACAGAAATGTAGTAATGAATGCTGGAAAAGCCACTTTAAGCGCTACAGGATTGGATGCTTTTACTGAAACCTGTTCCACTCAACAAATTTTACGATTAACAGACAGGCATGATTCAAGAGTCAGACAATTCTTAATAGTGTAGAAGCAAACAGAATGATTAAGAAGCGTCTAAATGCAGTCAGGCACACAGGAATGGGACGTGGAGAACCAGGGGAGAAAGGGTAGGCCGAGACTTGAGCCACGAGGTCTTCTGGAGTCCATCCGTCTCCCCAAGAGCCTTGGGGCCGGGCGGCAGCTCAGAAACAGCCTCTGGATTTCAGCACCGACACTCAGATGGCATGTTGGAATCATCACCGCCCCGCCCAGCCCGTAGACCCCTGGCCATATTAGGAAAGGGAAGGCAAAACATATTTTAAAAGTTCCCAATTCTCCAGCCCTCCTAGCAGCTACGAGCTGATTAGGTCCCCATCTGCAAAGTGATTCGCCCGGGCTGAGGCCTAGGCTCCGGTCCGCAACCCCCAACTCACACTGGGACAGAAAAGTCTGCCAGTCCCCGCCAACTCGCGCGCAACTGGGCTGTCACGCGACACGCCGAATCCCCCACCCTGCAATCTCCGGTCCTGCAAGCTACCTTAGTCCGTACCTCGAGAGGCGGATAGGATCATGTCCGGGAACTGAGGAGTAGTAGCGATCTGTGTTACCCAGCCGTTGTGGCCCTTGAGAGTGCCACGAAGGGTC